CTCGATTGGAGCAAATCGCAATAACAAGGAATCATCCGCAACCTTCTCGAAGGGGAAATCCCTCTTCAGAGCAGCATGAGTGAAATTTCGATCACCAGAAACAAATGGAGGACCCTGACCTCTCTTCTTCTTCCTCATCTGCGCCGCCTCGGCGAGACTTGGGAAATCACGACTCCGAAACGCATGCGACGCGGTGAGGGAATGACTAGGTGAATGCCGCGAGCTCACCTGCCCTTGGGAATTCCTGCCTCTAGATCGCCCACCCCCTTCCGATGATGTCGGTGCTTCCGGCAGGCTGCATGTCTTCACCGGAGATGTGGGCGTCACCTCCCGACGAGATTGATTCGTCGTAGCCGCAGCAGTGGAGGCCCCCGGATCAGACGCCTGTAACAACTCCTCAGCATGCTCCCCTATCATGACGAGGTTGGCCTTCCGCCATGCATCGCGAAGCTGGAGAAGTTCTTCGCGCTGACGAAGCAACTCCGCCGACGAGTCAGAGACGTCAGAAATCGCTCGCGAGACCGACTCTCGATTGCACGAGGAAGAAGCCTCCTCCCCAGTTCGCCGAGGAGAGCTGAAAGCCCCATCTCCCCCGGACGGATCAGCGATATCCGCCGGCGGGAAGGCCTATGAGAAAGCCGGCGGGGGTCCGCCCGCCCCGTCGCCCTGGAAGAGAGACATACCCCGGTCCTCCTAATTCTCGACAGCTACCTTTTCCTCGTGTAAATCTTCTCTTCCAGCGGCGTTGGGTGCGAGACATCTCTGGCGCGCCCACGGCACCAGTTCTCTGTGATTACGTCAAGGTTTGGGAGCTTGTCGAGCATGTCCATCTCCAGCAGCATGTGCCCGATCGATTCGTCTGGAAGTGGACTGCGGATGGGAGCTACACGGCTTCATCCGCCTACAGATCATTTTTCTTGGGAATGACCTCGATGGCTGGGGCAAAGCAAGTGTGGAGGGCAACGGTACCGCCAAAGGTGAAGCTATTCTACTGGCTAGATCTTCATGGCAGATTGTGGACGGGTGATCCAAGGAAGAGGCATGGGCTCCAAGACGATGATCTCTGTGCTTTATGCGATCAGTCAAGCGAAACTACTGACCACTTGCTACTGAGCTGCGTATACTCGACAGAGGTCTGGTTCAGGATTCTCATGCGCTGCGGTAGGAACATGCTGGCCCCGACGGACACATACCTGCTTCTCAGTTGGTGGTTGCAGTCCAGGGAAGCACTACCGGAGAGCTTTCGCCGCGGATTCGACTCGCTAACCATGCTGGTTACGTGGGGCATTTGGAAGGAGAGATGCAGGAGGGTCTTCGAGAGGAAGCAGTGCACGCCGGAAAGGTTAACTGAAATTATCCTGGAAGAGGGTAGCAGCTGGAGTGAGGCCGGGTTCGCCTCCATGTCGGTCTTCTTTGCGGTCCAAGTGCCGTAAGCAGCTTTCGCAAGCTCCGTAGTCGCAAATACATCAAGATGTAGTCCCAAACAAAAAAAACTAACAATCTGTGTAATCTCTCTGTGTGTGGGGTGTCAAAGTGGGGGCATCTCGCTCGCCTTTGGTCACACCGTGTAAAACTTGCTATCCTCTTAATGAAATACGTGTAATATGCATGTTCGCGAAAAAAAAATGATGGTGAAATCGTTGTCCCAGGGCACTTGTCATAAACGTTGTTTGTATGGTTGAACTCTTCTTCTTAAATACAACGATACATAAATCTTTTGTGTATTCGAGAAAAAAAGACAAAATGCATCAAGTCTAAGAGACGCTAGTTTGCTCTGGTGATGGACGAGAGGATATTAGAATTCTTAATCGTGATTAGCCCATTAGGATCACTAGCCTAATGACATGAACACACTAATTCCTAGGTTAATTAGCACATACCTTAATTAGCAGAAGACCATCGTTAGATCTTAGATACCTCCTGGATCGGCCTCCTGGTCCCCGGAGCAGCAGAGAGCGTCAGTCTTCAACTGACCGCTGTGCCTCCCTGATCGGTGGGTTAGGGATGTGGGTGTTCTCGCTAGAAGAGGCCGAGCCTTAGAAGCCACACGGTTCCCTTTCTTATAGCACAGCATCAGTTGGGACTGAGCCAACGGTGAAAATAGTCCACACGTCCGATCAACGTGCGTTAGTTAGAGCTAGTGGGCCCATGGCCCCTTAGGACTCGGTCATTAGACAACTTAAGCCAAGATTAACTCTAACAGAGAAAGCTAATTCTTTTCGTTTCTCTAATCCTAAAACATGGGTTGTCTATAAAAAAAACATGGGTTGTCAGCAAAACTCACCATTACTGCTATCGAATCATGCACCACAATGACAATTTTATAGGCAAAATCGTTGAGACACTGGAGTTGTGGAGTGCGATATCCACAACACCCAGATGTTCGGTTAAAGCAATTGATGTTTCTCGTGGCTTGAGAGACATTTGGTTAATAAAACAATTCGGTCCATGTTGTTTCTACTTTCTGGTGACTTGCGAGATTTACCAGGATTGTAACTCAAGAAGTTTTTAGCGAAAATACTCCATGGTAGATTCTCTTGTTACTAAAATAAAATAAAGGAGGAAGCAAAAACTTGTGCGTAGCAGGAGCCAAAGATTTAAGAGAAACCATCCATGTAGGGTTTTTTTTCTGTACATTGAGGTGGATTGGGGTGGAATTTACATCCAAACGATGTTGTAATGTTTTTTTTTACCAAACTTTTTTTCCAGCCTTCTCCTTTATCAATTTTGGACTGAGCAATCGCGAGATTGCTTAGTGGCCTGATACTTCTCAATTTTGGAAGGAAGCTAGAAAGACACAGAGATCCGAATGGAATTGAGGAGGGCGACAGAGTCACGGAGTGCACGCAGGTTGCTTATATGAATTGAGAAGAAAAGGATCATGAGATAAGAGGCTGGCATTATGGAAACCTGGAAATTTGTGGCGACCAGCAGATGTTTAGTTTCTATCAGCTTCTGCTGGTAGGTGCAGCGGGTGAACATGGCAAAAATAGCTAGACAGCTCATGTGCGAGCCCGAGGTCAGGCCAACGGAGGTACGTAAAAAAGGAATCCTCATGTTTCACCGACTGGAAAACTGAAATCGCGGTGAAAAACTGAAATCAATGTCACGTTAATGTATGATGAAGTCGTCGTCAACGTGATCCCACTGCTTGATACTCCTTCATTCTAAATTATAAGACATTTAACTTTTTTAACTTCAAATTTGATCACTCGTCTTATTAAAAAACTTGTGCAAACATAGTCAAATTTAAGTCATTCTTGAAGAACTTTTATTAATATAAACCAAGCCACGACAAAAGAAATGATATTTTACACAAATTTTTGAATAAGACGAGTGGTCAAACTTAGTGTCAAAAAAAATCAAACGTCTTATAATTTGGGATGGATTAAGTACCATTATAAATGAGGCTATGTGACACTTTATTGCTTTTCATCCTGATACAAAAAAAAACTATAGTACTTTTCATGACGAATTTAAGCATATCACAATATAATTTGCTAAACGCTTTTGGCCATGACATGAATTTGTGATGGAGAAACCAGATGCTTCTGACTCTAAATTAGCAGAGCATCCACACGATGACTCAACAATCTAATAACAAACGATATTCCTAATATGACTGACGGTGTATAACAATATAACACGATTATCAAGGCAACTAACTAGCGGCACGCAAATCCAATCTAACAGCCGCCAAATCCAATCTAACAGCCGCCACCACCACCACATCAGCCGCCGCCGCCACCATCCACCTTCACTATGGCCGCCGCCGCCACATCCGCCTCCATGATGGCCGCCGGTGTGTCCGTCGCCGCCGCATCCGCCTCCACTGGACGCGGCGGCAGCGCCAACGTACGAAGCTGTGTACGCGCTCGTGAAGTTAGTCCCCGTCGTCCCTGACGACCTCGCGGTGCCGCGGCTCGCCGCCGTCGTCGCTGCTGGCTAACCTTCGTGGTCGCCAGGGCCGGGGCGGGCATCTTCTTGGGCCTATGGTCGTCGCTGCGGCCACAGACGAAGACGGCGAACGAGACGACCCAGACGGAGACGACGACCATGCAGAGCCCGAGGAGCCACGACGACGAGCCCAACGCGGACGCCGCCGCGTTGGCACTGGCGCCGGCTCCAGCTGCATTCGCAAGGATTCTCGCCATGGAACAGCGAGAACAAGAAGATGAACAATTAAGAGTAACGACTAACAAGGCACTTGACGCGGGTCGAGACTGTTACTCGGCGTTGCAAAACTCCTGATCTAGGATTAACCGGCCAGTCAGATATATATAGCCACGGGGAGGGATTATCTTCCTAACTACTCCCTTCGTCCGGTAAAGATTGCAAACGGAGGTGGGAGCGTTGTCCGTGCAAGAATGCAAACGGAGGGGTGACAGGTATATGAATATAACCCGAGTAGCTGTCGTTTGCGTCTCTTGATCCCACCGTCCAAAAAAATCTCCTTCCTTGCCCTTAAAAAAATCTCCTTCCTCAGCACTTTCCTCACCACCACATGTTACAGCTCGCTTGTCATCCTCATCCACTCGACTCTCCTCCACCGCCCGCAACTCCATTGACCGCGCCGCCTCCCATACCAGCGCGACCGGTCCGAGTCTCCTGCGCTCTCACGGCCTGTGCGCCGTGCCAGGGCCAGCCACGCGCCTCCCTTCTGCTGCTGCCACTCGCCAGCGTCGAAGCCGCGTGCCCACCATGAAACCTCCGTTTCCGCGCCGTGTCTCTCCCTGTGTCGGAGGTTGCGAGACCAAAGCGCCCGCTGCCACCAAACCACTCACGGTCCGATAACCGAGCATGCGAGAGCCTACTTGCCGCAGCACCACGCAGCGCTGCCTGATGACTTACGCCAGCCAGACCCGCGAAACCACGAAGCCGCCGTCGAAACAATCTTCCGCTGCATCTCCCTCAGCTCGCTTGACCGCACCGCCTCCTCCATCTTCTGTTCCATCTCCCTCTTCCCCTTCTCCATCCTTAGGCCTCGCGCGTCAACAGGGATGGCTGGATCTCAACGCTACCCTTTCCGCACCCTTGGGAGCTGGATCCAGTGGATTAGGCGCTCCACGCATCGAGGTGCAAAGCTGGCCAGCAGCAACAGCGATGGGAGCCCCGAGCGCCCAGTTAAGGTGTTGGTCGTCGGTGCCAATGCGGGCGGAGGCGCTGATGGGAGCCCCATGTGCGTCCTCGTGTTTGGGGGCGGCGACGGAATCCCATGATCCGTCAGCAAGACTGGGCAAGGCGATGTCCCCAACATGTGCGACGAGATTGGGGAAGGCGGCGCGAGCTCCGTGCCTATCCTCAAGATGTGCGACGAGATTGGGGAAGGCGGCACGAGCTCCGTGCCTATCCCCAAGATGTGCGACGGTGGTACAAGACAGAAGGAACCCGTGAAACTGGGGGCCGGTGGCGGTGACAGGAGCCCGGAGCACGTCCTCAATATTGGGCATAGTCGCCTTCGTGTCGATCACCTCGGCCAGTTGTATGTCCTTGACTCCGAAGATGAAGGCATCGGCAAGGAGGCGGGACTTTATGTCCCTGATTCGGAGGAGGAAGATGGACATGGCAGTGGTTGTGAGCGTCGATAGCTTCGTCGATGTGCTGGGCTGCCCAGAGGTGATGTTGGTGGGCACTACAACTGTGGACGTGCAGTGGTGGCGTCTACAGCCAGCAACAAGTCCGAGAAGATGACCATGGCCACAAATCCGATCATCCAGGCTGGCTCGATCCAGGCTGCTGTGGACGTCCCTCTGGGGGATGTCGCCGCTGACGAACTACACCCAGTGATGGTTCAACACTTGAAGGTACAGCTTGCCGGGATGGAACCCCTCTTCCGCGAGACCTTTCTCAGCATCCTTAAAATTTATTTGCCTGCATGCTTCCAACCGTAGTGAAATGTGCATATTTGTGACGATCAGGTGTTGCTTTTGGGTTGATCTGTTGGTCATGTCCATATTTGTGATGAGTAAGTAAGTGTCGCTTTGTGTTAATCAGTAGGTCATGTGTGTCGATGAAATGATATGTAGGTATGCTGGTGTGCATGGTTTGGTTTGAACTTGCTGGAAAAAAATGTTGGCTTTTGGGTAGGAGTAATGCTACTGATCTAGTATGTGGTGACCAACCTTGTGGATTTTGTTGTAATTATGATGGGGTTGTTTCCTTGTGAACTATGCTACTAAATTAACTACCTTAATTTCGGCTTTAGTTTGTGGTGACCAGCCTTGTGGCATTAATTCGTTGTATTAGTGACGAGCTGTTTTGTTTCAAATTATTCTACGACCTTAACTACTTTGATGTTGGATTATGGCGAACGCACATTGCAATTTAACAGGAAGCCAAAACCATTGTTGTAAAGTGGAAATGCAGTTTTCTCTCGAAAGACGTTAAAAGACTTGTGAACATGTGTGCTCCCTTCTGTTTTTTTTGTGTTTGGTCACAAGTTCTAATTAAAATGTTGATTAATTTTTTTTCTTTTTTAATAGAACACATACCATACCCTTACAAAAGTAGGTCTTGTTGATATTCTGAAACAAGAACACATATGTACATTTTGAAGCACAGGACAACACATAGGGGTCACACTAGCAAACACCTTTGTACATGCAACATAGTAGTAGCAAACACATTTGTACATGCAACACACTACCAGCAAACACCTTTGTACATGCAGCACACTAACACTTCATTCAGCAAAATGTTGAGTTCTAAACACTAAGAAACTAGGCATTTAGGGACTCCATCACACTCTCATATAGTTGACGGTCACAATCGAGGCTCTTTGGAAGCATGCCTAGGGCCTCCAGCCTATCTTTGTTCATGTGAGGGATCTTGTATTTGTTCCCTCCACCGGCCTTCATCACCTCAATTATGCAACCTTGCAGTGTTAGGAAGACATTTCTAATTGCTCTGTGGTCATAGTTTTCATATTCATTCTTAACATTGGCAATTAAGTCATTCATATTGTTAGAGATCATTGTGTATGTCAACGACTGTAGAGATGCAAAGAACCCCAGATCTAAGATATTCATATCAGCGAAGTTTGGGGGCTGGTTCGTGAGGCGGATATCAAGCCCAAGGTGGGCTACTGCTCGTGCAAATTCCTCATCATTAGCAGGGATATGAGTCCTAGCATTGTCCTGCTGAATCCAAATAGTTTGGTGGCGTTGATCTCGAGGCCAACGATCTCAAATTGCTGGTAGGAGTTTGGTAATCATATAGGACCTTATTGGGACTCTATCAACCTTCATTGTCTGTTGATTGGTGTCCCCCTTGGTCTGTTACCACTTCTTATTTTTGTTGGTTCCTACACCAATTGACAAACATGTTAGCTTCCAAAGCAAACCATAGAAACTAATTGAAGCAAAAAAAACTTAAGTTCATGTACCTCTCTTATAAAAGGCCATATGCCTAGTTTACCATCAAAGGTGCAGTTCCCTTCATCATCATACTGAGGATTGGCTACTACATAGAAGAACATTACCTTTTCAATGTAATTCTTGTTCCGCACAGTCCTATGTGGGTCCTCTTCATCTTGAGTCATGTAGTAGGTCACATCTTTTCTTGTTCCGTTGAACCACTTCTCATCTTGGTGTATGATGTTCTTCATTTCCTTGAACTTTGGCTGAGTTTGCAATGTATGCTGCTCTAACATTGAAACACACCACCGCAACCTTTTCTTTTTTGTTTTCCTCCTTTAAATATGGCTTCAATGAGTTGGAGTGCCGTCTTAGGAACCCATCTTTGAACATCTGATGTACTGTGGTTTTTTCATACCTAGAGCTTGAGCTAGAGAACTGGTCGGATGTACCCCCGATGTGAACTCAATAGGGTTGGACGATTACGCATGTACCCCTAGTGGTGTTGACAGTGAAAAAGCCTGCAGCCTGCCATGAGGAGTGTAGATGGATGGGGAGAGAGCAACATGTAGACAGAATCATGCCAACAAGTGGGCAGCTCATTTCTTTTACAACAGGTATTGATGAGGACATCACTCCATCACATACAAGCCAAGGAGAGGAGGAGGTCCAGCATGGGCATTCAATTCATCTTTCTCATGGTGGAGACTCAGTCCAACTGAAGTTGGAGCCCATCTCGGGTTTCAGGACCAGTCTATCATAAAACTGGTCACACGGGCGCGTCGGGCTTCGTTTTTGACGATCCACATATGGATGGAAAGCTGATTAGATAAGGAAGTCAATGCAAGTGGTCTCACGTCAAAATCCATTCGGAATCAATAGGAATCATCGAAATAAATCAACGTTCAGAATCTGCCAGGGTGCTGCGACACCGTCTTTTGGTTTGTTGGACCGTGTATCGTGTTTGGGCCCATTAGGGGCGCGTCCAGGGGGGTGATGCCCAAAACTCTATATTATACCACCGTCACTCTCGTTAGGGTTTTAGGTTTTGTTTAGTTCTTGATTTCCTCGTGAAACAGACGTCGTTTTGCTGCAACTGTGCCGCCAAGGCCGCTTGCTGTGAACCAGGGCCCCGGTTCTTGATCTTGTTCGCTTGTGACGATTAGTCCTTTCGAATAAAGACCTAAACTCCTTCTCGATATCATAAGCCTCATATTTATTTGTAATTTTAGATTGCATTCATCCCGTTCTTGCTTGTGTTCTCGATTCACTTGCAGGAAAGCTTTCTCGGCGAGGTCAATCGCGTTCGCGTGGTTGATAACTAATAGAGCAGTGGTGTAACGGTTGCGAGGGTCCGAATCAGTCTTGGTTCGAAGCCTAAGATCGTGAACGTCGAGTCTCCACCAATCGACAATATCGTACCTATCGAAGATCGGGCCTTATCTACATTAAGTAGTATCAGAGCCAGGTTTCAATCCTGGGACCTGTGGGTTATGGGCCCACCATGCTTCCGCTGCAAATTCTCTGCAGCGCCATTTTATCTGGCGCCATTTTCAAGTGGCTGAAAACAAAGATTACAAAATTTTAGATGTCGCCATTTACTCCTTCCTTGGCTTATAAAAGCCTGGCGATGACTGCCTCACCATCTTTCTTCACCCCCTTTCCTTGAACCCATGGCTTTAGATTTGAACAATCCACCACCTGACGAGGGAGAGACCTTACCATACCTCAACGAGAAGTAGCCTGAAGATGAGGATGATCTATTCCAGATCCATGATGCACATCAAGATGATCTTGTTGGAGTTAAGATTACTGGAGGGCAAAACCAAATAATCAACCTAGGTACTTGTCTCTTCACTTATCTAAGTTATTGGAGTACTCCAACCTCACAAAACTCACCTACTCTTGATGAACACCACCTACCAGATGGGGGAGGAGAAGCCATACCATACCTTAATATGCAGCCTGCACATGATGAAGAGCCTTTCCATGTTTTTGTTGGAGATGATGACATAGCTACAGGGGACGAAGGTATTAGTGCAGATGGAAATGGCAACTTTGATGTCTATGGTGATCTTTTCAATCTCAACTTACATGCTTCCTATCAACCAGATCTAGACCATTGTAAGTGTTTTTGTCTGTATGTATTTTCTTCCATAGTTTGCCTACATGCTTTTTTATTAGTGCTTAATAGAAAATACAATGGCTTACAAGTTAAGATCCTTTCTGAGCCATTGGGGACATACATGCATGCTTAGGAATAAATTCAATGTAGAGTTGCTTAATCGAAGGACTATATGACATTGTATTGAAAGCTATAGCACATAATCAGATTGGACTAGACATAATTTATCTCATATTCAAGGTTTATTTGTTGATGAATTAGTGGGTCAATGTGGTACCATGTCCAATAGAGACTTTAGGATGAAGAATTCCGTACACAGAACCTCCAACTAGTGCCCACATTGCATGTAGTACCATGTCCAGTAGAGAAGTTCCTACAAAATATACGAATAATGTACATTTAGCAATTAGTTGTTAATAAATTTCACATTCCACGAATGTAGATTACAATGATTAAAAACAAGTTAAACTAAGCCATCAAACAATAAATGGATGTACATTTGTTTAGTTCCAGATGAACACAATCAGCACCTATGTTTTTTTGTAGTTAATGATGACTACATCCCAACCATGGAGGAAATGCATGAGTATGGCGTCTATGCCAATGAGGTGGACATCATCTTTGATCAGGAAGAGTTATCTGACTCTAGTGACGAAGATTATGAACCAGCAAATGGGAATTTTAGGACAAGGTCAAAGGATCTTACTATAGCTCAAAAGCAACAGATATATGAAGCATTGCTGGAGAAAAGCAACCGAGGGAAACTAAAGAGAAACACTACAACTGAGGTTGTTGAATTATTTCATGTTAATCGACATGCAGTGTGGCGTATTTGGCGACAAGCACAACAATGTCGTGCTAATGGAGTGTCGGTTGATGTTAGTTCAAGAAAGCCCAAGAATTGTGGCCGCAAAAAGGCGTTGAAATCGACACCTCACAAGTAGAGACCATTCCATTGCACAGAAGGTGTACCATAAGGTCTCTAGCTCAAGCTCTAGGTATGAAAAAGCCATAGTACATCAGATGTTCAAAGATGGGTTCCTAAGACGGCACTCCAACTCATTGAAGCCATATTTAAAGGAGGAAAACAAAAAAGAAATGTTGTGGTGGTGTGTTTCAATGTTAGAGCAGCATACATTGCAAACTCAGCCAAAGTTCAAGGAAATGAAGAACATCATACACCAAGATAAGAAGTGGTTCAACGGAACAAGAAAAGATGTGACCTACTACATGACTCAAGATGAAGAGGACCCACATAGGACTGTGTGGAACAAGAATTACATTGAAAAGGTAATGTTCTTCTGTGCAGTAGCCAATCCTCAGTATGATGATGAAGGGAACTGCACCTTTGATGGTAAACTAGGCATATGGCCTTTTATAAGAGAGGTACCTGAACTTATGTGTTTTTTTTTGCTTCGATTAGTTTCTATGGTTTGCTTTGGAAGCTAACATGTTTGTCAATTGGTGTAGGAACCAACAAAAAGAAGAAGTGGTAATAGACCAAGGAGGACACCAATCAACAAGACAATGAAGGTTGACAAAGTCACAATAAGGTCCTATATGATTACTGAACTCCTACCAGCAATTTGAGATTGTTGGCCTCGAGATCAACGCCACCAAACTATTTGGATTCAGCAGGACAATGCTAGGATTCATATCCCTGTTAATGATGAGGAATTTGCACGAGCAGTAGCCCACCTTGGGCTTGATATCCGCCTCACGAACCAGCCCCTAACTCCCCTGATATGAATGTCTTAGATCTGGGGTTCTTTGCATCTCTACAGTCGTTGACATACACAATGATCTCTAACAATATGAATGACTTAATTGCCAATGTTAAGAATGAATATGAAAACTATGACCACAGAGCAATTAGAAATGTCTTCCTAACACTACAAGGTTGCATGATTGAGGTGATGAAGGCCGGTGGAGGGAACAAATACAAGATCCCTCACATGAACAAAGATAGGCTGGAGGCCCTAGGCATGCTTCCAAAGAGCCTCGATTGTGACCGTCAACTATATGAGAGTGTGATGGAGTCTCTAAATGCCTAGTTTCTTAGTGTTTAGAACTCAACATTTTGCTGAATGCAGTGTTAGTGTGCTGCATGTACAAGGGTGTTTGCTGGTAGTGTGTTGCATGTACAAATGTGTTTGCTACTACTATGTTGCATGTAGAAAGGTGTTTGCTGGTGTGACCCCTATGTGTTGTCTTGTGCTTCAAAATGTACATATGTGTTCTTGTTTCAGAATATCAACAAGACCTACTTTTTAAGGGTATGGTATGTGTTCTATTAAAAAGAAAAAAAATTAATCAACATTTTAATTAGAACTTGTGACCAAACACAAAAAAAACAGAAGGGAGCACACATGTTCACAAGTCTTTTAACGTCTTTCGAGAGAAAACTGCATTTCCACTTTACAACAATGGTTTTGGCTTCCTGTTAAATTGCAATGTGCTTTCGCCATAATCCAACATCAAAGTAGTTAAGGTCGTAGAATAATTTGAAACAAAACAGCTCGTCACTAATACAACGAATTAATGCCACAAGGCTGGTCACCACAAACTAAAGCCGAAATTAAGGTAGTTAATTTAGTAGCATAGCTCACAAGGAAACAACCCCATCATAATTACAACAAAATCCACAAGGTTGGTCACCACATACTAGATCAGTAGCATTACTCCTACCCAAAAGCCAACATTTTTTCCAGCAAGTTCAAACCAAACCATGCACACCAGCATACCTACATATCATTTCATCGACACACATGGCCTACTGATTAACACAAAGCGACACTTACTTCATCATCACAAATATGCATATGACCAACAGATCAACCCAAAAGCAACACTTGATCGTCACAAATATGCACATTTCACTACGGTTGGAAGCATACAGGCAAATAAATTTTAAGGATGTTGAGAAAGGTCTCGTGGAAGAGGGGTTCCATCCCGGCAAGCTGTACCTTCAAGTGTTGAACCATCACTGGGTGTAGTTCGTCAGCGGCGACATCCCCCACAGGGACGTCCAAAGCAGCCTAGACCGAGGTAGCCTGGATGACCGGATTTGCGGCCATGGTCATCTTCTCGGACTTGTTGCTGGCTGTAGACGCCACCACTGCACGTCCACAGTTGTAGCGCCCACCAACATCACCTCCGGGCAGCCCAGCACATCGACGAAGCTATCGACGCTCACAGCCACTGCCATGTCCATCTTCCTCCTCCGAATCAGGGACATAAAGTCCCGCCTCCATGCCGATGCCTTCATCTTCGGAGTCAAGGACATACAACTGGCCGAGGTGATCGACGCGAAGGCGACTACGCCCAATATTGAGGACGTGCTCCGGGCTCCCGTCACCGCCATCAGCCCCTAGTTTCACGGGTTCCTTCTGTCTTGTACCACCGTCGCACATCTTGGCGATAGGCACGGAGCTCGCGCCGCTTTCCCCAATCTCGTCACACATCTTTAGGATAGGCACGGAGCTCGCGCCGCCTTCCCCAATCCCGTCGCACATGTTGGGGACATCGCCTTCCCCAATCTTGCCGACGGATCTTGGGATTCCGTCATCGCCCCCAAACACAGGGACGCACATGGGGCTCCCATCAGCGCCGCCGCCCGCATTGGCACCGACGACCAACACCTTAACTGGGCGCTCGGGGCTCCCATCGCTGTTGCTGCTGGCCAGCTTCGCACCTCGATGCGTGGAGTGCCTAACCCGCTGGATCTAGCTCCCACGGGTGCGGAAAGGGCGACGTCGAGATCCAGCCATCCCTGTTGACGCGCGAGGCCTAAGGATGGAGAAGGGGAAGAGGGAGATGGAACAGAAGATGGAGGAGGCGGTGCGGTCAAGCGAGCTGAGGGAGATGCAGCGGAAGATTGTTTCGGCGGCGGCTTCGTGGTTTCGCTGGTCTGGCTGGCGTGCGTCGTCGGGCAGCGCTGCGCGGCGCTGCGGCAAGCAGGCTCGTGTGTGCTCGGCTATCGGACCGCGAAGGGCTCGGCGGCAGCGGGCGCTTTGGTCTCGCAATCTCGGACGCAGGGAGAGGCACGGCGCGGCAACGGAGGTTCGATGGTGGGCGCGCGACTCCGACGCTGGCGAGCGGCAACAGCAGAAGGGAGGCGCGTGGCTGGCCCTGGCACGACGCACAGGCAGCAAGAGCGCAGAGACTCAGACCGGACGCGCTGGTACGGGAGGCGGCGCGGACAATGGAGTTGCGGGCAGTGGAGAGTCGAGTGGATGAGGATGACATGCGAGCTGTAACATGTGGTGGTGAGAAAAGTGCTGAGGAAGGAGATTTTTTTTAAGGACAAGGAAGAAGATTTGTTTTTGATGGTGGAATCAAGAGACACGAACAACAGCTATTCGGGTCATAATTTTTCACGGACAACGCTCCCACCCTCCGTTTGCAATCTTTACCGGACGAAGGGAAGTATTCAGCAAAGTCCTGGTAGCAATTGCCACGTTGGTTCCTGTTCCGTAGGCCGATCCAACCTCCCGTACGTTGGTGATTTTTTTCCGCCCGACCTCGCGTACGACTTTTTTTCCCCCAATCCGATGCTCTGGAAGGTGGTTTTTTCCCGTATACGTTGGTTCCTTTCCGTGTTCCGTCCAATCAGAAGTTCATTTTTTCCTGCAGTCCAATCTCCCCGTATGTTCGTTACTCCCTCCATGCAGGATAGAGTGTAATTCTAGCACATTGTCATGGTTTTATATCTTAAGTTCGATTAATTATAGATAAAAAATATCAATATTTATGATATCAAATAAATATTATTAGATTAATCACGAAATATGTTTTTATAATAAATTATTTTGAAGCCGTAAATATGAATAGTATTTATTAGAAATTTGGTTAAACGTGAATTATTTTTGCTAGCACGCAATACGTAGTTGCATTCTTTTCTGGACGGAGGAAGTACTTTAAAAGATTTGTCCGATCAGATTTTTCTCCCGTCATCAGCCTTTTTTTCTCATGTAATCGTAAAAAATAAACAATAAATATTTATGGAAATTTCAACTATTGACCCTTCTATCTAATTCTAGAAACAAATATTTCTACCACTAATAATTTGTTAATATAGTTTTATCGGTAGACGGTTCAACTAATCAAACCATAAACTGAATCTTAACCTATTTGTTGATTGTTGACTAACTCGGTCTAAATAAATGTATCTCAACAATTTTTTATGAGGGCTGCCGAGAGAGGCCTTCTATTATAATCATCATTGAAAAGATCAATCCTTGACAAGCCAGCAACTAAATTCTTATATTCACTTTAATCAAATATTAGAACTATATAGATTTTTGTGAGTCCTTAAAGGAAGTTACAAAACTTGATATTTAACCGTACCAACATGGATAGTATAAAAGATTAAAATTACGATATGTTTACGAATAAATATTTCTATATATGATTTTCAACGGGAGAAAAAATTCTACCAAAGTTGTATTTTAATTCAATACATGCTTAATAGAATATTGTTATCTTATTGTCAAGATTAAATTATATTACAGATGTCATGGCCATCGTAAAATGAATTATAGTTTTAAAATTTTATAAGAACATGTAAAAATCATTCTTGTCCTTGTTTCTATAAACATTTGATGGCTTTTTACAACGAATAGGCATGTTTGCCAGTCTTTAACATATGCCACGCTCTAATTCACTTGGTAAAATACAAAACACTTTATATTTTATTTTTTTGGGAAAAAAACATTTTATATTTTCATTCAGAAAGTATTTCTCGTTATTGTACTACTGCAGTGAATCAAAGCTCTAGCTGCGACTACAGGGTACAGGCCGGCCGGGCGTCGCCACCATGCCGTTTTCGTGACCTCTCCTCAGCCAAACGCGGTGAGTCCGCAGACGTTCTTGACGAGGTGCGGGTACGTTGGGTTGAACACTTGAACGGGAAGCTGGAGAAGGCGGCAGCGACGCACCTGTCGCCGATCCTCTCCAGCACCGAGCAGCAGGCCTTGCTGATGCGCACCTGGCGCGCGGCCAGCGACTGGAGGACGTCGTCCACGCAGCTCTCCGACGCCAGGGTGGATTTCCAGCAGGACGCCGCCGTCGGCGGCACAATCAGTGGTCCCCTGGGGTCGTCGTCGTCCAACCTAGGCAACGTCTGGAGCCGCCGGTGCGGTGCCGCTGCCGCGGCCGTCGCTGTCGTGGTGCTGAGGACGAGGAGAACGCACAGTGAAAGGAAGCAGTGATTAGCGTTGGCCATTGTAGTTTCGAGGCCGTCGGATACGTGCTGGGTGCCTGGGGTGGTATACGCCTGCTGTGGGCTTGTGGCGATGCGATGTGCTGTGCGATCTTGGAAGAAGGGCTTGTGGTATTCGAGGATTTGTAGTTTGCAAAGGAAAGATTAGTTACGAATGTGTTCAATGAGCGGTTTGGGAGAAGTCAGAGCTGCGTGTGCGTGAGGTGTTGTTTGCGTTGGCTATTTTTTCAGTTACTGTAAAATAACAAATGCGTCATTGATGTATGCATTCACTGATAAACGTATAAATGAAGAAGCAAATTCATGAAAGGAGCTGGTTTGGTACTGCTGTTAATTTTATCCTTCCCTGCTTCTCTTGGGTCATTGATATAAGGTGTGACGCTCCAGGACATTAGAGATTTTTTCGCATGAAAATTTTGAAAAATTGAACGCATCAACACAAAATCATGTCGGCCGTACAACAAGGATCCCATGCTGTCGTGCATAAACAGAGATCAGATAACACAGGATGCAGCAAACTGAAGTAGTGGAAAAGCGTTGCAAAACTACACTATTTGTGAGGGCATCTAACATAGCATTCAATTCATACAGTCAAAAATTATCTACTATCATATTAGCATTTATAAGCACAAAATGAAATATGCCTTGGCTACTAACTGTTTGTATGATCTAAGCCAACCACCAACCTGCTGGCACCTTTACATCAGGAAGGACATCAGTTACAAAGAATAAGCACTCTAGGCAATTTAAATTACCTAGAGCACAAAGAATTGGTCTAAGAAATATAATTGAAAAGAAAAGGATAAACCATACACCACTATTTGCTGTTCACGGGTTTATATTGCACTCCCGTAGAAACACTTGATCGTAATTGACGTGTGCTGACCAGTACTTGCGGTATTTGGGCAATCCAATCTCAAGCCAGGGCTTCAAGTTTCCATTGTAGTGGATGACAGCCGCTCGCCTGATATCCTTTTCATTGACATTTGGGTTGTACCCAAGTCCTAATTGATGCCACGAATGATCAAGAGGGAACATGCGGTTCCAGAAGGTTACAAGACCAGCAGGGAGGGTACCTAGCTTCCACAATAGCCTGTTTTCATTCTGCACAAAGGAGACGAGTGAGTGAACTATACAAGATAAATAGTATGACAGTAAACAATGCTCAAATCCTACAGGAGTGTACTTTTGTATCAAAATATAGCTGCAACCCTACTAAGATACAGCCTGCACAACTGTTCGTGAAGTGTCTAATAGGAAATGCTACATATGAATTATGTCACCATTAGCATTATCAGCTCAAGCACTTGAGTACATACTCTAGTGTAGCAACAGGAACTAGAAACACAATTTCACATGTAAAGCTCATACTCACCAACTTCTGCCAGGTATGGTAGACCTCAGTGATGTTTTGCTTTCTCCACTCAGACAAATCAAACATGTTCATGCCATATGCCCAACCACAAGCATGTGGATCAAAATTCTTGGCAATAAGAGGGTTTGAGAAGTTGAGGTACTTATCAAACCTATGGAATGCCTGTCTGCAGGTCTCGACAGCACCATTAACCTTGCCTTTGAGATCTACCAACCAAAGCGCACTTAGGTCTCGCTGCACTACAGTATCATCGTCCAGAAATAACACCTTATTAAGCTTTGGGAAGATCTCAGGGAGATAGAACCTCAGATGGTTGAGAATTGACAAGTACTTGGGGTTCCGAAACTTAGGATTTTCATCATGCCTAGCATGCCCAGTTCTGAAGTAGTAATTAATCATAAACTGGGTTTCCAACTGCTTCAGAACTGGACTGTAGCTTGAATTTAACCATGTAAACTCTTCAATGTTCTGAACCTGAATAGCAGCTTTACCCAAGGGATTAGCCAGGAACCACATTTTCATTGCAGCATAGTTATGCCTATCTGTCACAATGTGGAATACATGATTTTCTGGTTTCTGCATTAAATATAGCATCGAAAGGTTAGCGGTGAAAAATGATTAAATCAATTAGAATATTCAGCATAAAAAGAGAAGTTGATTCTTGATTCACAATAATTAACTGAACACCTAATTAGCAACTTTCTGAGGCCAAGTGGTATACCTTAGCATGGACAAGAGTTGAGTTAACAACCACTGCAGCAGCCAATACATTGTCTGAAAACAAGGCATAATGATAGAGTTTGGGGTCTTCCAGCTTCTCCACATAGGGAAAGTCCTTATTCTTTGAGTTGGTGAAATAGTACTCATTTGTAAGCCGCAGTGTAAGGCAATGGAGACCCTTGGGTAGAGATTTTGCTGCCACTTGCGCTAGATAGTTAGCTTGCCTTTTGTTTGATTCGAGTTGCTGCTCTGTTGAGTGAAGGACTGTTTTGATCCTATTCACAGCACTAGAGCAACTATCATGAATTTTCCTGACCTTCACCAATGTCTGCTCCATTGCTCTAATTTTGCTGTGGACACTGTTGAGAAAAATAGAAAATCATGTCAGAGATGTTTGGTTCAAACAAAAAGTACAGCAACACCAATCATACACCATCACTACACAGGCCGAATAAAACTCTTAGTACAGTAGAATAGGATGTACTTCTGAGGTAATTGCCGATCACTGGTCGCATCGCCTAGTGCTCGTTGTATATCCCTCATCCGTGCACGGAGCTCCCTTGCGAAGCCATGATTACCCCTAGAAGCAAACAATCCAAGGTACATCTTTGCTCTTGTTAGCTGGTCCTTGATGATGTGGATTGTAGCATCTGACAAAGTTGTGGTTTGACCAGCTATACTATTTGTTGCATGGTGAGCAGAGTTACTATTACTTGCACTTGTTTGCTGCTCTCTAGTCTTGTTGGATAAACTATGAGTAGCACTTTCCTGGAAAAGTAGGCGTTTAGCTGTTAGATCAAGATAGAACTCTACCTGAAATCGTTGACAAGAACAAATAACACAAACAACAACATGATTCCATAAGCTAAAATGTACAGATATCGCAATACAATAGGAAGCGTGGATACTTATTCATATAAATACCAAAGTGACGATTTCATAAGAGCGAAAATTTGGTAATCCACTACTAACATGTCATCTAAACAAGTAGACATTAACAGAGGGCACCAATAAGCAAACACTACTTACAAGGAAACATTAAAACCTAGACTGATCTTCTACAAGAAAATTTACCTTGATAGAAGATGAATTCAGGATTCCAACAGTGAAACATTAAAACCTAGACTGATCTTCTACAAGAAAATTTACCTTGATAGAAGATGAATTTAGGATTCCAACAGTGCGCAGTCCAGAATCGTCGTTCATTTCTAGTCCATCTGACCCATTTTTGTGCACCACGCCAGTTACGTGAGGCAACTCTATCCCAACTTCTTTTCCGTTCTGCTCACCAGCATCCCTGCTATCCCCGGGCTCACCAGATCCATCTTCCCTTCTCTGGCTTCCCACAACCTCCTTAATGATGCCGTCCTGCCCCAACCTAGCACTGCCATTCCCCACGACAACCGGGTCATCTTCCTCTTCCGCGCTCCGCAACTCACTGTCCGCAGCAGTATCTGATTTTCCAGATGCACGGCTCCTGCTGCTCCCTGCCTCAACCACTTGCCAGCGATCAGTTGCTGATAGCACACGGTTTTTGTGCTCCCCAAGCCTTTCAATTATCAAATCTACAAAACGCATCAATTGGTGGTTTGAATGCTAGTAGCATAGCAGGTGAAAAAAAAAAGGTCTCTATCTGACTGGTGCGGAACCAAAATCATCCGTCTCCATCGTCCGTACCACTACACGATCTAAGACGGCCGAAATGCGTGCGAAAATTCCCTTTGGCAAGATAGGTCCAATCGAGCAGGAGATTGGGGATAAAGAAACTCACCTTTGGCCAGAGACACCGCGGACGCTGCCATGTGCGGCCACACCAGATTGGACGCGCCCTCCTGGTCGAACGCGCCGCTCGCCACTGCAAAAAAAACCAAGACACCGCCCGGAAAACCGCGCCCGTCAGACACGAAACCTTCCCGCATTGCCCGAAACCACGCACGGAGAGAGGCCAGGCCAGAGGAAGGGAAGGGAACGCACCGGTGGAGTCCGGGAGGGGCGCGACCGAGACGGAGGAGCCGCCGTACAGCACAAGGGGCGCCAGCACCGACGCGAGGAGGAGGAGGAGCACCGCGCCCCGGCACCGCCGGCGGCGCCGCAGCATTGCCCTCGCCGCCAGTTCCGGCGAGCCTGCCGCCGCCGCCGCCGAGGAGGGAGGAAGGGGAGAGGGAGGGGGCGGTCGCTTTCCGGTGGGGGCTGGCGCTTATTTTGGTGTGTGGGGGGGGGCGGCGACGGGGTTTGGGGGCGTCGGCTTGCCCGACGCGAATTTCCGGGGGCGGGCTGCGGTGCGGGTAGGGGTAACGTGCGATCGGTGCCGCCGGGAGCGTGACATCCATGCGATGCGATGATGTCGCCCGTGCGTGCCGCGTGCCCGCGTGCGCGTCGGTTTGCTGGGCCTCCTCGCTTTTGCTCTGGGCACACACGGCCGAAATGGGACGCGCCAGATTTGCCAAGATTTTAACTGGATCTGGGATTCGCCGGAAGTATTGCTCTGGCTTCATTAGAGTACAGTATACCTGTAAAGGTCACCACTTGCAGTTTGGCATTTTGGGTATAAATCTAAGTGAATTGTTTAGATTTATTTACATCTAAAATTGTATTTTTTTTGTCTAGTAAATTTATACAGTATTTAAGATTGTGTTCCTTTTCGGTGCTTGCTGTGGTTGGCCCTCAAGGCCTCTCAATCGAGGGGCCCTCAAGGCCTCTCAATCTCATCCCTCGCCAGTCGCCACACCTCAAAAGCTGCTGAGAGCGGCTAACCATGATAAAGCCGGGTTGATAAGTTCAAACCCTCGTCGCCCTCCGTTTGAGCTGGGGGCGGCGATATACTCGTGCGTGTGGATGAGGATGCAAACCATCAAGGGCCAGGGATCGAGGATATTTGAATGACGCCATACCAAAGCCACTTGCCTTCCCAAGCAAATATACTTTCCGTGTTATTATATATGGTTTAGCTGTATTTTTAGTTAACGGCATATTGAATGGTGAACATTTAATTATTTATGACACGATGTGAGATTTGTTTAGTTGGTTACATTCTTTTTATGTTCGACTGATTACTAGTAATTCTTTTAGTGACGACGATCTATCCTTAGCCCTTGTTTAGACGTGCATGTATTCATCTCAATCCACATATGTTAAAGTGGATTGGAGTGGAATTAAACTGAGTTCAATTCCATTCTTGTCGGGGACCTAATACTGGAGTACCCAATGAGGTGGAGCTAATAACCATCAAACGTTGATGCTTCCAAACTGACAAGAACGCAACTGCACTTCTTACCCATACGACCGAAGGTTGGCCGCGCCTCGCCCGGCCCTTGAGGGTTGGCTCCGCCTCGCCCGACCCCCAAGGGCTGGACTCCACCTCGCCCGACAACCGAGGACTGACTCCGCCTCGCCCGATGATCGGGGGTAGACTCCGCCTCGCCCGACGACCGGGGACTGACTCCGCCTCGCCCGACGACCGGAGACTGACTCCGCCTCGCCCGACAACCGAGGATTGGCTCCGCCTCGCTCGACGATTGGGGACTGGCCTCGCCTCGCCCGACCCCTGAGGGTTGGGCTCCGCCTCGCCCGACGACTGAGGGCTGGCTCCGCCTCGCCCGACGTCTGGGGGCAGGCTCCGCCTCGCCCAACATCCGAGGGCTAGCTCCGTCTCGCCCGACGTCTGAGGGCTAGCTCCGCCTCGCCCAACGTCTGCACCCTACTCCTTCATAATGACGAGCACATGGTAGGACAGGACACTCAAGTCAACCGCAGTACCGAGGACCATACCCTGGACGCCTGCGGGCAAGTACCGTCAGGATATGACGAAACGGACACTTTAGGCCCTCCCAGGCATGATAGAGCCCGAACAGTGTTGTAGACGCCGACTTTTATCTTACAGTGTTGTGGGCGCCGCCATCAGCCCTCGGACGCGGATCCTAACATAAGCATATGACAACCACTACAATCCAGAACGGAACTCACATCATCTATAGTAACGGGCGTATAGTCACTTCCCTGTCTGCTCCCCGTAGGGTCACGGCTCGACACCCTGGCACGTTGCACCGTCCGTCGGAGTAGGATGGGACGTGACCACTTGCCGAAATAAAGCCAGAGCACGGCCCTATCAGAATCAACGAATGTGCTATCCCTGGCATCGTCTACCATGTCAGTAGGGCAAGCTCAAGGGAAAAGGAAGACCCAGCACCTTCGAAGGATCTTCTCTACCTTTGGTTTTTTCCTCTTTCTCCCATCTGTAACCCCTGCTCCCCCTTGGTCTATAAAAGGGAGGGCAGGACACCCCACCAAGGGGACGGATCGATTTCACACACAACACATCACATAACACACAGCCAAGCAGCAACCGAGCTCTTGGCATCCCTTCGATCTTTCCATCAGAGACTTGGGACCTGTCCGTCTCTCGACCGTTTGTACCCCCTACTACGAACCTTTTTCAGTGCTAATAACACGAGCAGCAGCAAACTGGACGTAGGGACATTCTGCCCGAACCAGTATAAACCTTGTGTACTTTAGCACACCATTCGGGCCTAACGAGCAACAAATATAAATTTACTAGTTGGTGTTTATTCGAAACACCGACGGTTGGCACGTCAGGTAGGGGACCTTTGCGCGTTCTGACGATAAACATCAGGCCACGGATGGCTAGCCACGATATCAGCTGGGTCCTAGGTGCACACGTGCGCTTCGGGAGCCTAGACTTCATCATCACGGTGGAATGAGAGTTAGCATTGGCCCACGCCGCCATCCAATCCCTCCCCTCCATCGGCCTCAACCACGAGAGGCTTGAGCGCCAGCTCGGTGTCTCCCTTTGACCCCAGCAGTCCAGGGAGGACCAGTGCCACCTCACCCTTTCCGACGCCAACGACATGGCACGGTTTTTCGGAGGAGGTTCCCTCTCTCTGGAATACCACATACGAAGTGCCTCGACAGCGCTTCCGTTCGGTCTCCGCAACGCTGCGGCGACCGTTAGCCACCTTGTGGCACGACGCATGGTCTTGCTGCCCGTAAACAACGAGTTCGTGGGGGTGATCGAACATGTCACAGAATCCCTCCACAACCTCCTCACAGAGGGGCCGGGGTCGTCCTCTGGCTTTGACTCCAGTAGGGGGAGCCATCACCCCTCCCGGGAATACTTCATGATAGGTACCCCCAAGGGACACGTCAAAAGCATCCCCGCGGAGGTGGCTACCCCGGCGGGCAACCTCGACGACGAAACCGAAGGGGAGACAGTGGCCCCACCTCGCATGGGGGTGGAGCAGCTGAAAGCCCGACAGCGGGAGATCGAGGAGGCACGACTCCAGCTGGTGTAGGAATGCGCAGAGCTCGATCGGGAGATCAAGCGCCGCGGAGATGGTGGGCGCGCACGCGCCATGGCCCATGATGTAAACCAAAGGATCATCGCCGACGATGAAGCCCTTCCTCGCTTTGCCCGGGTGAGCTAGAACATCACCCCCGCGATGGCCTTGCTCCATGGCCTTCCAGAGGCCGCGACGCCAGAGGATTGTTAGGCCCATCGCGAGATTCGCACGCTACTTGAGTGTGTGGCGATGCAGTAGGCTGAGAGCTCGCTGTCTCGACGACACAAGCTCAACGCCAGCCAGCGCACAACCTCGACGCGCCCTACTAGGGACGCGTCAGTCTACCAGGGACCACAAGGCGACAAGCAGCGAGCCACGGTCCTGGTGCATCAGCACCTCGACCGCAACCGCGACGCACGTAGCACCCTCGACGCCCGCAGACATACCTGCGGTGAAAACCGAGATAAGGAGCCCGTCGTGGCTATCATCCTCGTCGCGGCGGACGCTACGATAGTAGCGAGGACCGAAGCCTAAGCCCTGGCCTGCTGGGCCCTCAGGCCTTCGGCCAACACATCCTCAACGCTGCCTTCCCGTCGAGGTACCGGCCACCAACCAATATCCCGAAGTACTCTGGGGAAACAAACCTCGGATTATGGCTCGCAGAATATTGGCTTGCCTACCAAGCCGATGGTGCGGATAATGAAGACTTCGTTATCCGCAACCTTCCACTGTTCTTAGCCGATTCAGCGCGAGTGTGGTTGGAACACCTGCCGTCCAATGCGATCTAGAGTTGAGCGGATCTAAAGGAGATCTTTGTGGAGAACTTCCAGGGCACATACAAGCGCCATGGGAACCAATGAGACCTCAAGAACTGCCGTCAGAAGGCCGGTGAGACCCTTCGTGGGTACATCCGGCGCTTCTCCTGGCAGTGCAACGAGCTCCCTAACATCACCGACGCCGACGTTATAGGAGCCTTCATGTCCGGGACTACCTGCGAGTCTTTGGTTCATAAGCTGGGACGCAAGGACCCGTGAACCACCAAGGAACTCCTGGACATCGCCACCCGCCATGCCTCAGGAGAAGAGGCAGTCGGAGCCGGGGCAAGGCAAGGCGGGACGAGGGCACCGGCGAAGGCTCCTCCAATCGTTCCGCTAAAAGGGAGAACAAGAAGCAACGGCGCGAGGACTCGCTCGTGGCCGCTGCTGATGGTCGGAAGCGCACGGAGGGCACTCCGAACCACTTCAAGAAATTACTCGCGGGGCCATGCCTGAACCATGCCTTCCCGGTTAAGCATATGCTCAAGGACTGTAGCCTTATGCAGCGGTTCTTGTCCGGAGGCTCCAACAAAGGGGAGCACAAAAAGGACCCTGCCCCCACCATGGACGACGCCGAGGAGAAGGACGATGGCTTTCCGACGTCAGACGGCTGCCTTATGATCTTTGGAGGATTAGCAGCCTACGACTCCAAACATTGTCAGAAGGTCGCACGCCGCGAGGTCTACATGGCCGAACCGGCCACACCTCTTTTCCTCCGGTGGTCAGAGTCTACCATAACCTTTGATCGGACCGACCATCCGGATAGCATCCCGCACCCAAGGAGATATCCACTCGTGGTCGACCCGATCATCGACCCGAAGTGACTCACTAAAGTACTAATGGATGGAGGCAGTGGCCTCAAGATCATGTACGCCAAGATGCTCGACGAGATGGGCATCGACCGGACGCGCCTCCACCCAACCCGAGCACCTTTCCACGGCATCGTGCCCGGGAAGCAGGCCATGCCACTTGGGCAGATTGATCTG